CATGTTTTCAATATGCGCGTGCACGAACGCGCGCTAATGACGCCATAAATTATGCGCAGTAAGGATGCGCAATGCAAATGTGAGGAATGACCTTAAACGACTTGTTTATTTGAGTTGAAGTCGAAGAAACCCCAGTATAAAGGCTAACCGCAAGCAACCCAAGCTAAGTTAAGCTAACCGGAGTGCTATTCAGGCTAACCGAAGTGCTAAGTAGACTCACCCGGACTTAAAAGTCGATTTTTCAACCTGCAACCAGCAAAACATACCTGCCCGTGTTCCCTTAGAATTTCCTGTTTAAAATTGCGTTTTCACCTTTTGTAAATTTATGATCAGGAGGTTTCTATTCTTTCCTCCCCTAGGTCTCGCATCCTAGCATCATCTTTTTAAGCATGATGTTTACGGCAAACGACAAAACTGAAACTATTGCTGTGTCTTCAGCTGTATGTTCAGTGGAGTGAAAATATTTGTTCTTGCTTTGAATAGCTGGAGACGTTTTTCTATTTTTGTCAGGATTAAAAGAAAAGAACAAAAAATCAGAGATAATTTTTGACGTAAACGTCATGCTTTTAAACTTCCCTAATATGCAAGACTGCCAGAAGTCTGAAAGATGGTATGACCATTGAATCTTGTGGTTCTTCCAATACAAAAGTTACCGCGAAAAAGACATGGAATTTTTAACTATTTATCAGAAAAAGTGTACCCTCTTTTCAAACTCTTTGAAAACTTAGAGAGCACAACGGATAACCCGATCTATTGCAACCTATCTTTCTCGATTGTTTTGAGGACCTGACGGGCCTATTTCTTTAACTTGTACGCGGATCCAGAGATAAACACCCTTTGGCAGCTAAGAAACAGCTACAGCAATGCCAAGCCCAATGTGCCAGAGCCGGTGGGTGAGGCCGGTGTTACCGTGACCCCAGGAAAACACTCAGGCCTAAGTCAGTTAAGGGCGCACAAATGCACCACTTGGAGGGATAGTTACACTTATCTATCGATGTAACTCTGGACTCATAACTCATTGAATGACAGTGGCAAACATTGAAAATATATTTGAGAAAGCTAGGAAATTATTTCTACATTGCAAAAGGTAATTTAGCACCATGAACACCTCAAAAATCTGAGAACATTCTGCCGTGACGTTCGGAATCGTTCGTGACGAATTCGGAACGTAGACGGGGATTTCCGATATCCGGTATCTTGCTCGGATTTTGGCTCGAATCCCTCTCTGTCACCTTTTATCCGGTCACGGGTAAAGCTGTACGTTGGTTTTCCTTATTCAGCAGAATGGGAAATAACATTTTCCGTGGTGTTAGGTGTTTAGTTTGTGCTCAAAGTGGTGTTTTTAAAGGTGAGTTCTTTTGTGAAGTTTTTAGCGTTTATAGACTGCCCAGACTGATCGGTTCCTGACAGTTGTCTGCCGGGGTGAACTAGTATTGTCGTTGTTCAGGACGAATTTATTTTTATCACCTTATATTGTTATAATGCCCAAATGTTGATAGCATTGTCTTCTTTATAGTTGATGTAATCAATGGTTATCTTTCGTCTGAGTAATTTAGAGCGCTGCATATCATTTATTTCCTGTTTACAAAACAGAAACTTTACATGCCGAAACTTTGATCTTTGAATGAGATTTTTTCGTCATTAGTTTGTAATCAAAATCTTTCTTACAGTCTAACCATAGTTATCATGAATACTTCCGGGTCCAAACGAGAATGGCTTGGCCTAGAGGGACACATACAGCAAGTGAACAGCAACACTGGTGCGTGAGCTATTTGTAGAACAAATGAACATTCAATTTGTTTAGTCTGACTTCCCTTTCTTTGTTGTCAATCACGTTCTTTGAACTATTAGTATTATTTTGTGTCCTGGATGTAGTGATGAGAATAATCCATCATTGACTAGTAATAACCAAAGATTAGAAAGTGCGGGCGAGGACGATATCTGGTCATTTTGGGTGAAAAAGGTTTATATTGTCCTAGGAGTGATGCTCAGTAGTTATAAGGGTGTGAAATATTTTCTAGGGCAATCCCTGCTCCTGCAGTTCTGCCCCCTCCCCTCGTTCCCCCTTTCCCCCTTAAACTCCCTCTATATTCCCTGTAATTATTGAGTCAAAATGAATTTTTGGAACTCAACAAATATTTATTGAAATATTATAACATATAAACTTTGAACATGTGATTTAAATGATTAATAAAGAATTCAAACAAAATGCATTGGTTATCATAATTATGCAAAACTTGAACATGTTATTGGACAGTAACTGTAACGAAACTATTATATAAATTTGAACAAGTGATTTCAATGATAAGTAAAAATTACACTTGAACAACAGACAACGTCTATAAAATCACAGCAATCTTCTCAAAAGCAGTGCTTGAACAACAGACAACGTCGATAAATCACAGCGAATCTTCTCAAAAGCAGCACTTGAACAACAGACAGCGTCGACTCAAAAGCAGCGCTTGAACAACAGACAACGTCGATAAAATCACAGCAATCTTCTCAACAGCAGCGCTTGAACAACAGACAACGTCAATAAATCACAGCAAATCTTCTCAAAAGCAGTGCTTGAACAACAGATGATGTCGACTCAAAAGCAGAGCTTGAACAAAAGACAACGTCGATAAATCACAGCAAATCTTCTCAAAAGCAGCGCTTGAACAACAGACAGCGTCGATAAATCACAGCAAATCTTCTTCAAAGCAGCGCTTAAACAAAAGACAACATCGATAAAATCACAGCAATCTTCTCTATTACTCAGGGCTTGAACTACAGACATCGTCAATGATCACAGCAATCTTCTCAAGCGCTTGAACTATGTCTGCAAAACATCATGCAATCTGGACGACTAACTTTCACGTGATCAAAGGTCCAGTTACGCGTGATAAAATTGCGTGTTATTCATTCCATTCATTCTTGGTGGAAGTCCACACAAATCGGGCCAGGATCTGGCTATACACATGCTGCGCATGCGTAATAGGAACGTTGAGATTAGGATTGCGGGTTCCTCTGGTTGCCCGCAATAAGCTTTAATAAGTGAAACAATATTTGTTCTGCCATTTCTAACTTGTGATATACATGGTGGGCATAAATACAGGTATGGATATGGGTAGGGGTATGAGTAGGGGTGAGAGAGGTGAGGGACCCCCTGAGTCTGCCTGATAGAATTTTTCAGTCAAGTGTTGTAAAACCTGAAAGACCAAATTAAAGTAATCACAAGGTCCAATCACAGGAAACTTTCAAGAACAACACAGTAGTAATGAACCAATTATGAAAACTGACAGACTGAAGACCAGTAACCCTGGAATGAAAACACAATGCCATAAATACATAGTTTTTGTTTTGCCTTGAAGTGGTGTAAGAGGAGGTGGTGTAGATGTTTTAAACCAATTACAGTGCATAGTTGAGGAAATCTAGAGCCCACCTGTGATCACGCAGTTTTTTTTGGAGAACAGGAAAAGGGGAAAAAAGAATGCCTGATGCAGTTATTTCACTGGTCATATGCCATCCCTTTGTTGCTTCATTGTGATCCACATAAGGGGAATAGCAATTTGAAGTTCAAACAGAATTTATTGAAAAAATTTGGTGGAACATCATAATCTTAGAGAGACTCCTTTGCTTAATTATGTCCAATCAGACTAAAGTCCAGACTTTGAACTACAGGCAGATCACCAGCGAAGTAACTGTATTAGTGGTCTTTTTTCCCTTTCCCTGAAATAAAAGATAAAGAATGCCTGATTGAAGGTTATTCTAAAGCAACTCTAGATTACAATAGACACTTGATTGAAAACCCCTCTAAGAGCTAGGTCACTCAGTGTTTTACATTAAATACCAAAAAGTCTATAGTTCATGCTCCCTAAGCCAAATTAAAATTTAATAAATTGCTGAGAGAAACTGTTGTTGTGTTGTTCTGGAAAATGTCCATACCCCCATGGAAGGTTTTTTGGTTTTAATTCTCCACCCCTCTGGAAATTCCAGGTTAGCTACTATACTTTCCTTTTAAAGTTTTGGTGTTTCAAAATGCGTTACCCCTTAGAATTTGCAGTGGCCCAGTGACCTGCTGCACAATATCAAACAGGAGGATAGAATGACAGCAGGTTTTTTCTTTTCTGTCATGTAGAGATGCCTAAAGATCTAATGCAATCCAAATCCAAAAGATGGCCAAGTTTGGCTGATAATATTTTTCAATTGATGAGTCTACCCTTTCCCCCAAAAAAACTGACCAAAACCCTTCTCTCACAGAAAGCAAACACTTAATTCACCATAAATGCTCAAGTGATTATCAAAAATTAAATTACTACTGGGATAACAGCATAAACCAACCTGAATTTAAAAAGAGTGATACTAAGAACATTTTGACTTCATACCCCAGGAGTTTTGATAGCTAGCTCATCAAGGGGGCCATGAGATCTGGTCCACCTCTGAGTTACTTCCAGATTATCTGGAAAAGTTGGCAAATATATAGTCATTCTTGATGAACTTTTCTCGGTGGTAATGTCTGGGAAATTTGGTAAGCTGTATTCAGGAGACTGGAGTTATCAGTGGTGAACCTGGTGGATAGACCAGGACCCTTTTAAAAGCTCTGTTTGAGTCACTTTGTTTTTAGAGCTAGGGGCATTTTTTTGTCTGTAATTTGCATTACTTGGCTAATTCTGAAGAACTTCTCAAATGATGCAGTTCACCCCAGATCTGAGGGAACGCCATCTTTATAAAAGGAAGAAAGGGTCCCTTTGACTATAGTTCCCCTCTTTCAAGCAAGAAATGGTCCATCCTCACTTCCCTCCTTCTTTTGAGGACCTCAGATCTGCCCTGGTTATGATCCACGTCTGAAAGATAACCTTCTAGAGTTTAAATGGGGTCAGTGTAAAATGAAGACTGCTGACTGCTGACTGCTGACTGCTGACTGCAGACTGCAGACCAGGAGTAAAATGTAGACTGAGGGTAAAATGCAGACTGCAGACTGTAGACTAAATCATGTTACCATTTCCATCATTGAGAGCTAAACAGGCTAGCCTGAGTGCTATTCAGGTTAACTGGAGTGCAGACTTTCTCTGCAATTAGCCTGTTGAATAATCCTGTTTATAGTCAGCACTTGATAATGGAAATAACAGGATATATATAGATTACATATGTTTACTTCGAAAGTCCCCAGTCTGCAGTCTGCATTTTACATTGACCGGTTTAGATTCCTGTCCTGATAATAAAGGTGTCCACTTTTAATTATAATTGGTAAACTAATAGAGTGGGTGTCTGTAAAGATATAGGTTTGATCGAGTGTCACAGGATCTATTTTTGTAACAATGATGTCCATCACTCTCTAAACTTAACTTGTGTAACTTGTTAGGGCTCACCAAGCTCAGAGAGCAGGACAGAAGTGACAGACACTGGTAAGGTTTTACATTAATGTTTTACTGAAAAAAGAAAAAAAACAACTAGAAGAAATTGACTAAGTGAACAAACAAACAAAGGAGAGTGACAAAATAAGGGATATCTCAAAAACCTGAATAGCCAATAGCAAATAGCAAACGTCAGCTAGAGGCAAATATAGTCTCAAATCATCACAATTAGCATGAATAGCACTACAGGTGGCCTCAATAGTACTTCATTCAACCTGACTAGCACTTTGGCTAGCCTTAATAGCATTTCTTGGCTGTGGATAACTCAACAACTTTAAGGGTTGCACAGTGTACTCAAGTTCTCAAGTCAGAGTTATTAACACCAACCAGAGTGCTATGCTGCACAGGCAAACAAGTTAAGGCCAGTTGTCAGTCATTTTTGTCACCTTCATGTTAACAAGATTAAGTCTTGTAAACATGAAGTAAAGTAAAAGAGCACCGGAAGGCCATAGCCTCATTGGATAAAAACTCTTTGTTGGCCAAACACCATATGCCTCACAATCACCAAATAGATTTGGAGAGTGCTGAAATTGTTGACAGGTCATGATCAGCGTGGTGACAAAGACTAATCCTTGAAGCTTGGCATTCCATGCGGTACAGGGATGCTATAAACAAACACATAGCCACAGCTAATTTACAATAACATTAAGAACTTTTAGAGTCATTAAGAATACCCTACAGACTATTGTTACACTCCTTTGAGGCGTGATTTAGTTTTATCACACATTGTATACATATACCAAGCAGGACGCCGTTAGCCATTTGCATTTTTATCTTTGCTGAAGAAGACAACAGTAGTAGCCCAAACATCCAGTATATATTTTTAGCCAGTGTCAATTTTTTATTCTTTTTACCAAGATCTTTAAATCTTGGATGTTACTTTGATTTTCAACAAATAACTTCTCCTTGATTTACAGGTTCATTATACAAGACTCCAACCTCTTATTTTATGATCAAAGAAGCAGTCAGACTCCACCAGAAACCAAACCAACAGGGTGGGTATGCTGCCATGAACTGGTGCCTTTTGTTTGTTGCATTTCTATTCTTCAGGCCTAGAATCACAAAATACTGTATGATTAACCCCTGACTGATAATTTATTCAAAGAGAGTACACTGAGTAGATATAGGCTCCAGTGAAATTGTGTTAATTTGACCACCAGTGGACGACATGCTCCATACATGTTAACAAAATAACTGAGCTACTACACATGCTGTCATTGGCAGATAGGTGTGTTTAGATGAGAGTATGTAAACACGATTGTGACCTTTCAGATTAGCACACATTTTTAAGAAATATTTTATAAAAGCAGTAGAGCACTCTTTCCGGGTTTACATGGCCTCATCTAAACACGCAGAAGGTTGGGAGAATTCTTGAAAGCCATGCAAACCCTCAACTGTGTCTTGGGTTTGCATAATTGTCTTGAATTCTCCCAACCCTCCTCGTGGTTAGATTAGGCTATGTAAACATGAAAAAAGTACTCTACTACTTAAATGATTAAAGGAACATGAATGGATGAGCATATCCTGAACTGTTGTTTGGACAAAAAGAAAATAGAGTGAAACCTGTAAATTATGAGCAAAACACTTGGGACTCTCTGCATAATACAGGTCCAATTTACTGAAAATATGAAAAGATGGGACTTACTAAGGCTGGTGTCTGGCTAAAACAGAGTGTCTGCTTCAGCCTTATAATATATAGTATGCAGCCTGCTTAATACATTGTAATTTGAAGGTGGGTTTAGTTTGCAGATTTTAAAGTTAATGCTATAAGTAAAACATCAGTTATACATCAGATTTTATGGAACCAAACTTACTTTTTGCATCTCATTTACTTAAATTTATTAGTTTGCCCAACTTATTACTTTTATTTTCTTAAAGTACTTAATTAAGCATCAAGCAATTAAAGTATACCTCAGACATGCGTGATGAAAGTTGACAATTTGCCCCTCATTCAGCCTATTCATAGGTGGGGGTCTGAGGTCTGGGTTTGCATTGATCTTGTTGTACAGGGCTGTCATTAATGGTTGTAACCCATGATGCCCATTATGGTTGAGCATGCTTGATGGACCCTTGATCTGGGCCGCAGCTAGTTACAGGCAAACTGAGGCACTTGCTTTCCCTTGGTGTGTAGGTTAAGGCAACAAGTAACTCAATACCTAATAACAGCCAATTGTCAGGAGTGCCAGAACAGCCAGTCCAGAGATAGATGTAGGTAGATAAGTCTGATTTTTCTTGCAAAACTGTCTTTCTGTTTAATTTTTTTTAGATTTGTAGACGTTGCTTCATCAGTGCTGGAAGTTTTTGTTGTTATTTCAAGGTAAAATTTGAAAATATATATGTATTAATCATTGGTATATAATTACACTATCTTGGGGGCTTGGTGACCTTATGGTTCTTGTGCTATACTCAAGGTTTAAAGACCGGGGTTCAACTGATGGGTCCAAGCTTGATCATTTTGCTGAGTTCTTGAGCAAGGCCTGTTACTTGTTGTCTACTTCTCTCTGGCTCAGCATGCAAATGGGTGCCGAAGAATCAAATGTTTTAGGGTCATCCTCTGATGGACCTGGATTAGGAGAAATACTCTTACCCGCTTTATGTTACAGAAAGGAAATCTATATGTGACTGATGGGGCGGGAAGCCCACTTGTACATTGCCTTATTCAATCACTTAAACAAATAAGCGCCCTGTCTCCAATATAAGTACCCTCCCTTTGGCTGTCAAAATGAAACTCCCCCCCCCCAAGTGCTAAATCGAGTCATGACGAGTCATTTTCTTGGGGAAGAAAGGTTTCACACCACCTGTTGTGAAGTAGAGACGTTTTTGAGTCATGGACGGAAGGCCACTGGAAATCTCCTTGTGATGTTGGTACATAGTAACGACCTTCTGCATGGTAAATATCCTAAACGAGGGAGTCCTAAAACGAAAGCTTCCAAAGTCACACTGATCAGAGCGGAAGTATACCAAAAACAAGAACATCAAGAAACAGTTACCGTTCGAACAACGGACACATTATTTTCCGCTTAAGCCACTAGAGGTCGTATTAAAAGTGATAGTTTGCGGCACATGAACACTTTATAAACGTCGGTCTAAACCGCACAATTCCGCAATCGGAATCAGTTGCTAAACCTACAAATAAAACGAAAAGTCGGCAGATCTGAGCTCAATTATAACTCTTGAATTATCAAGGTACAACTTGGCGTATTTCAAGAGGTTGAAGTTTTTTTGGTCATATCTTACTACCGTAATTAAAGAAACCGAGTTTTTCCCTCTCGCGCCAAAAGCATAGCGCATTTAAGTGAAACATTTAAATGTCTTGCGCGTGCGACTGTAACGGATTTGATGTCAGCGTTCGATGCATAACGTGATAATAAAGTTTCCATAGAAACTGTAGTGAAAAACATACCTGAAACAGACGGCGAGACGAACGCTAGCCACTTACACTGTAGCTTGTGTAATTGCAGTAGTTATGAGTTAATACTTTTGTATTACAGAATGTCACCAACACGGCTCCTTGTATATCACCAGACTTCGTTAAACTTCGTTGTTTTATTTTTTTTTTCGTGATTTACTTGAGTAACGTTCCTAATCTTTTCAACCTTGACTGTTATTTTCATTTTCAGTAAGGATGGAAAGAATTATCAGTTGTCCCCTCCTCGGGATGTCTGTGTGTTTGATTGGCTCACGAGCCTCAGGGTAAGAAAAAGACTAAATTCATACTTCAAGGCAAGAGCGGCTAGATTAGGATTGTTATCAGCAAAAAGAAAAAAAATATCGTTTTTGATGCTAACTGATTTCGCGCGCTTTCCCTTTATGCTCACTTTGAAGAATTGTTTTGCTGCCCGGGGTTTTGCTGGTTCTGAAGAAAAAGCCGTTTAAGGCGTCGTTTGAAGTGTCTATTTTATTTTGTACTAAACTAACATTTGTTTTTATGCTGATTAGGAAGCGACGAGGGTGAGCAAGCAAAATTTGGCAGCATCTTCCTTTGAGCGCGGCGCCGGAGGTGGGAGTATTATGGGCAAGGTAAGGGAACACACGTGAGAATGGGATATACCGCAGTAATTAGTATATTGTTAGTATTGGTCTGCAAAGCCCCTTCTATCATTTAGTTATTTACTTATTTGTAGTAGCATTTAGTAAATTTACCAGAGGAGTAAGTCCTTTTAATCAGGCCATGCTTCGCACAAGGCAAAAAGGTTTGGCTAAAGGTAAAAAGTTGACACAAGTGAATCAGAATCATATTTGCGGACGAACGGAACTTACTGACTGACTGATTGACCAGCAGACAGAAGGACGGATAGACCAACTTGCAGTTGGAAACCAACGACATCATGTGAAGAAATATAATTAATAAAGTAATTTATCAACTTGCAATGTTTTTACAATCTGCAACTTTCTATATTTGGTTAAATTTGGATAGAGAAGTAAAGTATGTATGACAGCGTAGAATGAATGGCACGGCAATAATTTTGCTACAGTCAAACCTGTATTAAGTGAACACCCTCGAGACCCTTGCTAGTAGTTTCCGCTTAATACAGGGCATCCGCTGAAAACAGGTTCCCTAAGTATTCGTTTTAAAAGGGTCATATTAACATTCCTCATTAAAAAAGGCCTTGAAAGAGTCAAATACCATTCCCGTAAACGTATAATAACTATGGAATACCGTATTTCCATAAACAATGACGAGTAACGCAATGTGATCATATGATGAAGGAAGGATTTATTTTGTAATCGTTGTACAGACATGTCTGTAGGTACAAATTTGCCAGACAAATGTTTTGTCGGTGAGATCACGTATTACTAATTTGATCATATTTTTGCTGAAACAGAGATGGTATCTCCTGTTTGTTTTAGATGAGGCAGCTCTTCTGTCCGCAAAATTAAATGACCGATCTATTAAAACGTGGACGAACAACATGCATCCTTTTACCCATATCCGTTTAATACAGGTTTTGTAACAATAGAAATGACCATAAAAGTCAAGTTTAAGGTGTCCGCGTCTGCTTAATAGAGGTGTCCGTTGAATACGGGTATTTTTTACAGTAAATCTGGGAGGAGAAAAAGGGGACTTGTGCTGCTGTCCACTTAGTAGAGGGTGTCCGCTTAATATGGGGTCCACTTAATACGGGTTTGACTGTACTTATTTGTTTGGAGATGTTAATTTGTTCGTTAATTTGTTTTGTTCCAGTTACGAAGCAGTCTGCGCCGGAAGAAGAAAGTCACTCGGGCTTTGTCAGATACCAGCAAAGGTGAGTAGTGTCTTGTATTATAATTTTTCCTCTCAGTATATTTTTTCCCTCTCGTTTATATTGCTGCCCGCTACTTTTGACTCCTTCTTTGACTTTTCTGATATTCCATACCCACAGTTGGTTCCAATGTAAACGGACCTGTGACGGGTGCCATGAGTGGTAACCCTCGCAATGAGCCCTTACCGAGCCATGGGCCACAACAGAAAGGCCGAGTTCAACGCTCAAAGTCATTTCCTTGGGAAGGACCCCCTAGTTTTGAGCTTCCTCAGCCGACTATGTCATCTTTTGAAGAAAAGGATAAATTATCTCCTATTGAGGTATTTATAATTTCTTAATTTCCTTCAACGCTTTTGTTCGGGGGACCGCTGAGAGGACTAAGTTAGCTGGGTTCCGATTACCCATTTTCGTCTCCAGAGGCCGCGCTCCTTTTGGTCAGCACCACGCATTGCGACCGCGATTCACGGACTTTCCGTCAAATCTGACTAATCTGATTGGCTGAGAGTACGAGATGAAAACTCTGCGCATGCTCAGAAAATCGGGTCCAACCAGAGGTCGCGATTCTTGGTGCTGACCAAAGAAGGAGCGCGACCTCTGGGGACGAGAATGGTGATTGCCTTAAACGTTTTGAACATAAAAATGCTGTAAGACGAATTCTTAAAAAAATTAACAGAATTGAAATAATTGCGACTTGAAGATAAAGGGACTTATATTTTTAACTAAAACCATTTCCAACTTTTTTTTAGCGCGAGTGATCAATGATAAAAATCGACCGTTTACGATCATTTCTACCATGATAAAAATTTGGCAAGAGTAGCGTTGAATAAAGCCTCTTAATGGTAATCCTTTGGAAAGCTCTCGTACATGTATTAGCATTAGCAACGTGGGCCGGGTTGTTCAAAGCCCCATTAAGCTTATCCAGGATAAGCGGAATTTTAATTTCAGTTTTGTAACTTTTCGTGAGGTTTCCTGTTTATATTGTTTGTCCTTCAGTTTTGAATAATCTCAAACTGCACAATACATAAGCAACGAAAAATATTTTTATACAATTGAGAAAAATAAATGCATTGGTTAACTTTTAATCCTGGGGTAGCGTCAACCCGCTTTCGAACAACCCGGCCTTGACGTTTTTGTTGAAAGCCTCAAAGAAGAGGACTGGCTGGCTGCCGTCCGCGGCTCAAAACGTCATGGACTTGAATTAAATTTCTGGAATTATTGTTGTATTCAGCAGGCGGAAGAGGCAAAGTTATTTGACTATAATGGTTGTGATAATAGTCCGGACAAGACATCTGTCCAACCACCAGCAAAAGACGTCAATACTATGGAGGACACCAAGGAAGAGAGAAACCAACAGCCTGTGGAAACTGCGTCCATCGAGATTCAAACCGACCCAATAACGGAGGGAGAATTACTTTCTTTACAGCAGCAGAAAATGTAAGCATCTTACGATCGAGTTCTGTGACGTTTCTATTGATACTGACTGTAGCTTATGCCTTGTAAAATATCTTATTTCCGATATCTGTATCAGAATCTACTTACCTCTTCTCTGATGACTCTTGACTAATACGTGCATTTCGTACACGATATTGGTTTTGCCTGTGGCTCTGGCGAGTGCGGTTGCTTTGTGTTTTCATGTTTGGGTTTTACTGGAGACACTGCGCCAGGTTACAGGCAAAGATGTAATCGATACACCTCGGTCGTCCACCAATAGTGAAGTTTTCATGCCTGAAGTCAATTGTTAGCGGGTTTTTAGACCAATTAAGCTCTTAGTTTTCGGTTTTAGCTAGACAAAGAAACAGTTGTCTAAAGAACGCCATATGATGTATGATGGGGGCAGTATACAACTCTTATGTTTTTTTCTTTCTCCGATCAGAACAAAGGAGCTCGAGATTGAGGTCTGCAAACTAAAATGTGAAGTGATCAGTTTGATCCAAGGAAATATCAAGATTCCTTTAAAAGGTCAGTATTATGATCGTAAAACGTTCGTTAACTAATAGCTATGCTGTAAAACCGCCACCCTTCGCTTTCTTAACTGTCGTCGTTCAGTTTCATCTGACTTTGTTTTCTTCCCCGTATGCAGCTAGAGGACTATCACCCCCTGAAGTTGTTATTGTTGTGTGTATTGTGATTGTTTGCTTCCATGTATGTTAGTCTTGCTGGACCGGGACCACCCACACTGCTTTCCGTACGCAATTGTTATACTGTGGTTATGGACTCGCTTATTTTTACGTTTGTTTAGATGACGACTTGGCTGACTGGCAGTTAGTAGAGGACATCAGAGTAAGTGTTATCACTCAGTTTAGTGTGCTTTATATCAACTACACTCATACTTTATTGGACGTTTTAGCGTGCGATATCGTTTATCCCGTGCCATAGTAGTAGATACAACCATTGAGAGTGCTGAAAGCCGTTGTTTATACTTTGTGTTTATGTTTCGTGGTATTGGACAGGTGTGTACATTATGGGCTGCCGCGCAATCATGAAAACGCTAAACGTCACTTTCTCATCTTTTTACGTTATTTTTACTAGTCGTGCTGTGTTTGTGGCGGTCCTGTGGGTATGATGAATATTAGCTGCGCATTGTTCCATTTGTTTCTGTACACTAGGTTTGTCTTGGGTCGTACTGGAGAGAAAAGACAATTAAAGATATCTTGTTTTGTTTTTCAGTACAAGGACCGAATTTACCAGTTGTTGAGAGAAGCTCGGCTTTATAATCCGAACCTGCCGGATTTCGATACGTAAGTCTTTGGAGTTGAAGGAGCTCAGTCACGGTATTTTGAGTTATTTTGGCCACTTAAAAAACTTCTTTTTAATCGAGGGAAACCTGAAACCAGTAGTTTACTAAGATCGAAAAACACCAAAGAGGTATTAATAATCCTTAGAGGAACAAGGATAGTTAGTAAGGATGGAGAAGATTAGTACGGATTACAAACCACGAATTTGAAAAATTGAGGCTTGACTTTTCAAGATCCGCAAATTGTGACGTATAGCTCCTTCAAAGGAGCTACGTCACGGTTTGCGCGCATTGAAAAGTTTAGCCTCAATTTTTCGAATTCGTCGTTTGTAATCCGTGTTAATCTTCTCCATCCTTGTTCCTCTATGGTTTATCATTATCTCTTGGTCCTTTTCTATCTTATTCAACTGTTATTTTCAGGTTTCCTACCATTTAAAGGTAATTTTGTATGTGGCCAAAATAACTCAAAATATCGTGACTGAGCCCCTTTAAGTTTGGGATAGTGGTGGTTTACAGGGATATGATTATACTGTATGCTCGCCTTGCAGTATAGGTAGATGTATTTGGTGGACACTAATTTTGGTTGAAGTAGATAGCTTTAAGTTTGTTTATTCGTGATCTGGAGCAAAGGGTTCTCATTTCATGAAATTTTTAAGTGAGTTATATTGGAATGCCCTCCATCCTTCCCGGACCGTCCCTTGGTCTTAGCAGTCGTAAGTGGGCAATGATTATCTATGTCTTCATATCTTTCTCCACAGTTCAAATATATGATCTTTCATTATTCATTTGATTTTCTGGCTATTGTTAGAAAGCGTTAGCTCACGGCGTAAAAGTAAATGGTCTTGATTACAGACTATAGTACGGTTACCTCCGCTTGATTTCGCCACATGTGAGCTGTTTTGAGAAACTGAATCAAATCTTTACATAATGTAAAGGAGATTTGGACCCCCATGCATGAACTTCGTACTTGCTGCTTGAAAGAAACGTTTTAAAGTCCAGTAATGTACTGCAAACTTATCGAAACTTCTACGCACCAAAAACAAACCTGTTTTGCATTGCACGCATATCGGTAGTTGTCTACTGCTAACACAACAGGCAAGAAATGATAAATCAACAACATTGGTTAATAGCTGTTTATTATAATTTTCTATCCGCTCACTATACCAGCGGTAAGTTCCATACAAAACACTATGTTTTTGTGGTCAGGTATTCCTGTACAGTGTCATGAGTCTGGTTAGCCTGTGACTCTTCTATTGAGAACAGAGTGACTGTAATGCTAGACCATGTATACTGACAATATGAACTCGACATAAATTTGTTATTCCAGGGTTTTTTTTTAACTCTGGAATAACGACAAGCGAACGTACTCTAAGTTTTTGACATTCTTTTCACACTATGTTGAGCCTAAGTTGAAGGTAGTTGTGCATGACGGTGTTCCAACCACTGGCACCCTTAACCTCCAGTTTTATTACTGTGTGTTTTTAAAGTCTCCCCATTCCTGGTTTCCCTCGCTTTTCCGGGGGTTTCCCGCGGGTTTCCCTCGTGTTTCCCTCCTTTGCTTCCAAAGATGTTCGTTCAGAATTTCTATGACTTCTATTAATCCTTATTTTACAGCATAAACGAGATTACTTTTGTATCTCTGATTACTGCCTTTGGGTTTTTTTTTGTTTCACGATTTCAACTTTCGCGTTTAATCATCACTTTATGAAAATTATTCTGTGGATGTTATCGACTGACAACCAGCTGTTTCCTTTGGTGTTGTTTTCTTGGCCTTCGCAGTGTTCCGTCTTGACTGGAATAGACTTTTTGTCATGAAACTATGTGCAGCTGGAAATATTTTTCGTTTGTTAGATGCTTTTGTGTTCATGAGTAAGACCACAATGCAGATTGTGGTTTCAAGAATGCGATTGCACGTCTGAAAAATCCACCATGGCCAGGGGTTTACGTAGCGTACACCCGAATATATCCCGAATACCCCTGCGGCCCCGTAAATAGTCAGTGCGCTTATGAGAGCGCTTGCAACCGCACACGCTGCGATCAGGTACTGCAGCCGTCGCATGCTGTTATCCACTGCACTTTTGCTGTTGACATTGGCTCTGATATTCGTGCGAATTTTCCAGCCCACGCGGGCGTAACCCACCGCTAGCAGAATTCCTAATGATAGGAAGTATATTTGACACATCAAAAGGAGGATCTTAGCTTCCAGGAAGTAAACCACGACAAAGTCTGTCACGATCACCAGAGCGACATGGCTTATCACGACTGGAACGATGAATTTGATGCGCTGGAATTTAGGCGGAGCGATGTTCATCTTGGTCGTGTCGATCAAAACAAGCAGGAGAAGACTCAGGGCGGAGATGATGCACGGATGACCGAGAGCAAACAGCAGTTGTGTTATGATGAGGTGAAAGCGGTTGGTCGAACCGTAGGGATCCACGAACAGGGCGATGGCCCGAGTTGAACTGAAGATGAATATTGTGACGAGCAAGCTTGACTTTAAGGCTGTCATCTTGGTTTTATCAACGTGCATTCTTAGCAGCTCAAACGGAGGAATTAACGCGATGATCGTGAAAACCGCGGCAAAACCGTACGTGTGTAATGGCCAGGCGTCTTGCCATTTTGCAAATGCTTTGGGCCAATCGGGTTCTGGTTCTGGCCAAGAAATTTCAGGTTCTAATGTCGGTTTTGTGGTTGCCACGGGCTCCCCGCTTGATCGTTCTGGTTCTCCCTCGGGTGATCCCTCGGGAGGTTCTGATGATGGCCCCGCGGGACGCGGACGTGGTTGTCGTTTGTGTCTTTTGAGGGGTCTGTCGCTCCCTCGGTCTTCAAAGTGAGCAATTGTATTTCTATGGCCCCTTTCTTTTTGTGCCTTGCTTATGTGATTGTCCACCTTTCTGTTCTGTACGTGCGAGCATTGGACACTCCTACTGGAATTTATGTCCTCACCGTCAAGCGTTTCTCGATGTTCCAGAGTTTTGTGTGTGTTTAAACGCTTTCTTGCTGGCGAAGTTTTTTGACTCGAACTACCTCGGTCTATTTTCTCTAATGAAAAAAGATCCAGCTTTTTCAGGTTGTTGTTCACTTGTCTGTGTTTAGTGTCGGCGTGCGTTTTCTCGTTGTTGTCTCTCTTCGGTTGTTCTTTCTTTGGGTAAACAACATCTTTGCTTTCAACTGAATTTTTCAACAGAAAGAAGAGGAGAGTTAAAATTACTGCTGAGTACCAGGTCTGTTTCCAGGTTTTCATTTCCCTCTTCTTTTAGATATCCGGCCCAAGCTTATATTTTCGTTGAGAATTCTGGAAACAACAAAAAAGGTTATTAGTGACGTGCAAATTTTACTTGCCTCATGCGGGTGGCATAACATAGCCTGAAATGAGATCCCTGACATTTTAGGCTAGGCGAAACAATGCTTAATCCTGCTTTTACCGTAAGACAACAAAAGGTGTCGGAAACGCGCTGACAAGAAGCCATTTTGTAATGGGCGCTGTCAACAGTAAGACTCATTAACAACAGAGTGGCTGCCCACTGACAAACGAGGTTATCATGTATGTGTGTGTAGGTATTTATTCAGCTGTGTAAACAGTATTTTTGGATTAAAAAAGGGGATGATTAGCTTTCGAAATTAAACACCGGCAAACTTGTTTGTTCAACACGCCAAAACTCATTGATTTACAATTCAAAACTGATGCTGCGATATTTAAGAACTCTTCAATTTTTCTACCCAAACATTACATATTAATTTGTAAAGAAGATTGTATGTTAAAGACCAAGCAGGCAAGAGATAGCTTCTCTAAGTCGGATTTGTGTTCGGGGTAACGTTCACTGACATTTTCACTGAGCGAATTCTGTCATGTTTATGGCGGGTAATTACGAAAAAAGTTCGCGAAATTAACGAGTTGAACAGGAGGCTTACTGTGATCGGATCTGAATCCAACCTTGTTAGTGACAAAGAAGCTGTAAATTACCTTTATTCAATGTTGATGTGGTGGAAGGAAAGGGTGCTGATGTTTTTCGTCGCTTAGCAGTTGCGAGCAAAATTGCCACACGGACTCATTTACTCGTCATTTTGAATTTTTGGTTTTACGTATTACACTATAAAAAAAAAATGCTATTCTAGTAGTAATTCGTAGCCTTTTTTTGGCTTTAGATCTCGGCAATACTAGTTGTAATGCAGGAATGTGACTTGAAGGTCGATAAAGGTAGCTTTATAACATCATGCTCGGCTTACTAGATCACAAGAATCTCGACAGTATTATACAAATCCAGAAGGACGGAAGAGAGAGAGCGGCCTCGTACCGCGTACTTGAAAAGTGATATAAAAGAACATGAAAACCCGTAAATTGAAATTAGGTACTACAAAATGGTGATTTTAGAATTTAATTGTCAGCTTATTGTACTTCAAGTGAAAGCGCTTAGTTTATTACCAACTCGGAGTTTCCGAAGGTTAAATTAAATTGAATTGAGTTAGAACACCTTTGCGTTATCCTGAATGCTATCCTGCGCGGCATCCCGCGCGTTATCTCGCGTGTTATCAAGCTGGAGCAAGGAATTATTACAACGGTGTAACCTGTTGTGTTAATTAAAAAGTTGACAGTCGTAGCCCAAGCGGCTCAGCAAATACCCTCCCGTTGAACTGGTCACTCTGTATGGTGTCAATTTTGATGAAGTCTTTCACACTCGGAGTACAATGATTGTAAATTTGAACTGAACATGGAAATAAATTAAATGATCCTTTATTCTGGCATCCGGGAGTGAGTAGGAGAGTAACTGAACTAAAAATAATATCAAATTCAACTTTGCATACGAGCTACTTCCACTACCAGAAATGTGTAAAGAGTGGAAAGATTGTTGCTGGATTTATTTCGATTTTACGACTTGTGCTGAAGACACTAACTACTGGGAAAAGCGAACTTTATAAAGTTCCAAGATGCTATCTGAGTGTGCGTTATATTATTTTTAATTTGAATTTGCATTTCCACTTCTAAAAAAGACCGTTAGCAGTTTTTATAGCTTAAAAACATTTTTGGGGAAAAATCCCAGCATTATGTTTTCTTTCTTTGAATAGAGTAAAAATAACGAAAAATTATCAAGACATCATATAGAAAAAAATGACAAGAACAATCATTCAGTATGATATTTTATCATCGGGTTCACGTGCAAGTAAACTCTAGTTTTTGTCCTTTTTCGTTGTCATTTTTTTTAGGCACCTATCCTCCAATTGATTTTTTTTATCATCTTTCTTCCAGTTAGAGGAAACCGCGAACGTGTTAATGCGAGAAGCTGTATTTTAAAGACATACCTAAATTGTTGCGTCCTTCAGTGGAGGCCGCCCTGCTGTCGACAAACCAGCTTTCAACTAAACTCTGGTTGTTTCCGATATGTTTTGAAAACTTACTTAATTACTCACTCCAGACTTACAGGGAATAAAGACGCCTTCTCACTGTAGGTGGCGTTTATCTCTTGGAACTTTCCTTCCAATTTCGTTGTTTCTGAAACTGATAATACACGAAAACAATTCTTTGGCACCTGTCCTGGGTATTGAGATATATACGACAGGAGGATCAATAGGATAATGGCACGCACAAAGCGTCACCTGCATTTTTTAAAATAATAAAAATCAGGCAGTTCTGTCATGTCTGTTTTCGTCGCCAAGGTGACGAGAATAAACCGATATTAGTGCTTGTGCTGCCCACAGCAAAGCAGGGTAAATAAACTTTCATGTTGTTTCTAACTTGAACCATTCAGTTCCGAGCGGCAAAGTTCGCAGTAATGTCCGTGATTAAACCCAGCTATTGATTGGTTCTTAGTATGCACGCGAGCAGCTAAGCTTTCCAAACACCGGTGTTTAATCGTTAATCATACAATCCATATGCTTTTGACGGAATACTTCTTCCAAAACACTTCATTTTCCCCCCCTCTCGAAGGTTGTATTTTAATACCATGTCGTTTAAGTCACTAACCATTTTGACGCTCGCTCCAAGAAGTTTTGTTCGAAGACCGCCGCGCGTACAATAACGACGTTTTTGCAATGTATGTGGGTTGTGATAATCCGTCGTGCTGGCCCGCTGCCAACACGGTCGTCTACTTTCGTTAATTACTCGTATGATTATAGAAGGAAGTCAGGAGATTCCGCTTAGTCCTGTTTATATCATGATTTTTTTTTTATTGGAATTTGTCAGCGAATTTGTTAGCGAGTAGTGATATGCATCCTGTCCTGTACATTTTTTGAAACGCACAGTCTTTTACGATAGTAAGCTTCCCTTCGCCTCCGAAGCCCAAGGCTTGTTGGCGGCGTTTTATGTTATATTGACAACGTAATTGAGATAAATAACAACGGCAAGTGCTAATACCAAACACGAAGTGTTAGGGAAAGTTATTAGTCTTCACTAAAATCACCTGCTAATTTGATGATGTTGCTCAATTTGTAAACCGACATTAGCATATTAAAGCCAACTTCCCGTCTCAGCTTAAATTTCAAAGTTCTTGTTAACTCATACTTCTTTGTGTTAGCAAAGATCATGCAGTTAGACTAGTCTTTTTTTTTCAATGATTGATTACTGCGCAAATGTCCTTAACAATTAACTAACTTCTGTTAAGTCCCTATCATTACGAGATGAAACCGTGCTCTTTTCTGTTTTGGCAAAAATCCCATTTGAATAATTTATCAGTGGCTGGCATTGAACAACGTTCACACGCAAGCGTAAGTTGCTTCTACAGTCACGTTTTAAAAAGATTGCGCTTTACTATAACCACAAATGTTCATTATGGATGACTCCTTGTCTTTGAAAAGGCTTATCGAGTCTTAATGTTCTGGTACCTTTTAGAATCCGTCAAAAACTCTTAAAACTTCTCTTTAGTTTAAGATAACAGCTGTTGTAAGTGATATTGTTTAGCTGCCAGTATGTGCGTAAGGAAACGGAGCGATATTGCGCGGTCAAAAAGTTCATATCTTCTACTTATTTCACTTCACCCAACATTCGCAACATACCCAAATTTTACAAGTTCCCAACATGCCCAACTTTTCTACCTCAAACATTTTCTGGTGCGTATTATGCAATAGTGTAATTGTGCAGCTAATTTAATGTTTCATTCATTCGTACACTATATAGCTGGATGCTTTTTTATTTTGGTTATTTTGATCATGTAGGTTGACCTGTTCTCTGGCAGCCTTACCTGTCCTGTATTCGATGCCAGTAGTTTCCTTTAAAACAGGGAAATAGGAGAGTTTTTTGTTCTCGTTTTGAGCTGCCTGCCGCTGGGCCAATTGCTCTTTGTGAATCTGTATCATGTAAAGTAGTTAAATACCATGTTGCTCATCCGTTCTGCCTTTTTTTTTTTTGCCTTTTCCAACTATTTTATCGATCATGTAGTTAAACATTCCTTTGTTTTTGTAGCTCAGTGTCATGTAGTTTCAAGGACAGTTATGGTTTTATCCGAGGAGCAAGAGAAAGTGAAAGCGAGCTATTTCACTTTGTATGCCGCGAGCTAAAACAATATTACTCGAGTTTTTACCGGGTAAGATTACTAGACAAAACCTTTTACATAGTTATGTGGTTTAAGGATTCTATTCTTATGTTTCGTTTGTGTTTCCTAGTGGCACAGATTGATCTCATGAATTATGACGACAGGAGAAATAAGTTAGGAAGCCAAAATAAGTGCTTCTGCACATTTGCATGGTTGAATATAAATCGAGATACTTATGAGAATGAAAACATTGACACTACTGTACCACAGTTATTCTCCTTTCAGAAGTGACTTTTATTGTTTAATTAAGGAAAGTAGCTTGGTAACTATTAAGAGTGAAAAAGTCCTCGTTTTTTTACGCTTAGCATTACTGAATTATTTTGCCTCTACAGAACAGAAATGGTCACGCTCGTCTGTGGTCGCAGTACATTGAATCTAAGCAGCAAGAGACGAAAAATGTGTTTTTCAAAGAGGTTAGTAAAGCCCAAAAAAGTCAGTTGACCCGGCCCCGAACATCTCCAAACGTGGCTCAGACGTACCTTGTGACTCAGTATTGTTTCTTTGCAGCAAGAGATGAAGGCACTTTTGAGAGAGGGCATACCGAAAACATGCAGAAGCGAAGTATGGAGAAGGTAGATCAATTGTTTTCTTTATGGTGAATTTTCCTCCTATCGCACTTCAGCAACGTGCCTGTCATTTAGGTCTCATTCAGTTTGAAAGTCATTTATCACTCTGTTACATCTGTTCGTTGAACAGTTTTGCTATCATAGTACTTTTCTTAGAGTCCCCTTCTCTTCCATCCCTTCCTTTCCGCCCCTGCCCCCCCACCCCCCTTCAGTCTAACGGACTTTGAGGTTCTCTTCATAGTGCCATGACACAAAAGGTGGAGCACATAAAAAAAGAGAAGGTAAGACATCACTTTCTTCAATTCAATTGTCGGCATTTCTTGTAAATCTCGATTGCAGTGTACAGTCTATTTCATACATCGCTAAAATGGATCTGTATTTTTCTATTTTCAGGGTAGAGATTATTATCAAAAGCTACTTCTCCGGGTGGAGAGACGCAAGGTACTGTGTTATAAGGAAATCTTTCTCTTCCTTCAAAACAACAGCTAAATTCAAAACATAGGCACGCAAGGCGTGCAAGAGTTATTTTTTTGTGTGAAGTGTCGGAGATAGGAGCATTCATGGTACAGTAATGATTTGGTTCATTTGACATTTTTTCTTTGGTTGCGATGTTACATCGGTCATGGTAAGATAGCTAAATAGTAAGCCATAAAATGTTTGACTGAACAAACTAC